AGAGGTGATGGAGCAAGAGAGGCCGTCTGTAGAAACTCCTTTGAGAGTTGGCCAGAAAGGGAGCTGAGAAACAGGGCAGTACCTGGAGGGAGTTCAGGGGTCAAAGTAAGGTTTCCAAAGATGAGAGATAGTGGAGCCTATTTGAATGCCGACAGAATGATCAGTGGAGAGGGGGAAAGATGATGGGATCTAGAACACAATTGGAAGGACAGGTCTTTAATAGGAGGAGGGGCCCTTCCTCCACTGTTGAAAGAGGAAAGGAGGGGCACCTGGGTGGCTCAGTTGGTTAAGCGACTGCCTTCAGCTCAGGTCATGATCTCAGGGTCCTGCGATTGAGCCCCACATCGGGCTCCCTGCTCAGCGGGAAGCCTGCTTCTCCCTCTCCCACCCCCCGCTTGTGTTCCCTCTCTTGCTGTCTCTCTCTGTCAAATAAATAAATAAAATCTTAAAAAAAGAAAGAAAGAAAGAAAGAAAGAAAGAAAGAAAGAAAGAAAGAGAAAGAAAGAAAGAGAAAGAAAGAAAGAAAAGGAAAGGAGGCATGAATGCAGATGCAGGGAGAAGTCTAGATGTGGTGACTGTAAGGTGAGGTAGTTTCCTTCTCTTTTATCAGTGAAACCTGAGGCGAGGTCAGCTTAGGGTGAGGAGAGCAGGGTCTCGAGAGAGGAGGGTGTGAATGTGAAATAGTGCAATATTCAATTTATTCTGAAATTGTTAGGCAATGTTTCTGATCGTCAGGTGTTGAGCAACCACTTAAGAATGGTGATAAGGAATTTAAAGTCATTTTTGATGCTCAGTAGACATTAGCTATCATTATGATGAAATGTCAGATTAGTAAGGCTCATTGAACCCTAACACACTTACTAAGTGAGGTGTTGTTGTCCTCATATTAAAGAGGAGAAAATCCAGTGCCTCCAAGTTCATTAAGTTGCTGAGAATTATGCAACTGGTTTAGGTGGTGGAGCTGGGATTTGATCCTGGATTGGGTTACCTTTAAAGCCAGAGTTTTCCCTACTCTATCAGGGAGGCTGAGGTAGCACAGGGGCTGAGTGCCCTCTGGCAGTCTGGAGGAGCACCAGCTTTCCCAGATCACCCTTGGTCCTCTGGGGTTAAAGCAGAGGAAGAAAACTCGGCCAGATAAGCCTTCCCCAGCTATCCCTGCTGCTGCCCTGTAGAGGTCACACACGTGACTTTGGATCAAATCAATGGCAACGGTGAGCAACTGCTTTTTACATAGGAGCCAAGTTAGCAGCTAGGGTAGGAATAGCACTTATTTTTGGCCAGCGTTTCTCATTCAAATACCTTTTTCAAATTCCATGGTGGATTAAAAAAAAGGTTTTGTTGGTTTGTTTGGCAGTATTAAGCAGCATTTGTTATGCTCCTGATTTTGTGGATCTGGAATTCGGACTACACTCAGGGGAAATAGCTTATCTATTTCATGAAGCCTGGGTGGCTGGGGTGGCTCAAATGGCTATAGATGGTGGGATGGTTTAACTGGGGCCATATATCTGAGGCCTGAATTCTGGTTGCAGTTTGTTTCCTCTGTTTTTCTCCACACCGTGTCTGCTGGAACTGAAATGTCCCAAGGTAGCTCCTTCATTCCCACATCTGGCACCTAGGTTGGAATGGCTGGAGCAGCTTGGGCTGGCTGGCCATCACTCTCTCTCTCTGCAGGATATCTCTGCTGGGCTAGCTTGGGCTGCCTCACAACACAGAGTCTCAGGGTAATCAGACTTATGTGGTGGCTAACTTCAAAAACGTAAATTCATACTGCTAAGTTTAACCTACTTTGTGGCATGAAAGAATGCCATTGAGAAGACTGGTGCTGTAATTTGGCCACTAAGTCCTTCATGTTGGTACATTTTATGAGAAGAAGCAACATAGAAGTGTTTTCCATTCTTCCATCCTAAAATTAGATCAGAGGTTGTATAGTGAAGTTAGGCCAGCTGCCAGCCAAGGCTGATTCCTACCAGGTTTCCCCTTCTTGCACTTGTCCTGCAGCCATCTTCAGTACTTGACCCCATCTGCCAGATCCTGCATCAGCTGGGATGGCTGATGGCCTTGAAACTTTCACCTCTTTAGCACAAGCTATGTCATGATAAGTAAAGTTGTTATTGGACACATGAAGATCCAAGAAAAAAATTTTTTTTTTTAAAGATCAAGTATAGGGACACCTGGGTGGCTCAGTTGGTTAAGCATCTGCCTTCGGCCCAGGTCATGATCCTTGGGTCCTGGGATGAGCCCCGCATTGGGCTCTTTACTGGGCAGGGAGCCTACTTCTCCCTCTGCTGCTCCCCCTGCTCATGCTCTCTCTCTCTCTGACAAATAAATAAATAAATAAAATCTTAAAAAAAAAAAAAAGACCTAAGCTGAAATCAAGAGTCAGCCGCTTAACCAACTGAGCCACCCAGGCACCCCAAATGTCCTCATCTTGTAATGCATCTTTAAATTCTACTCATAGGGATTTATCTTGAGCCAATTCAAAAAAGGAAAATAAGCTATATATACCATTTTGTGTTACAGTGCCATCTACATCAGAGAGAGAGAGAGACGGAGAGAGGGAGGGATACGTAGATTACAAGTAACCTATGAATATGACAATAAAGGAATGTTTATTTGTTCAAGGGGTAGTACAGTGTAGTGATCAGGAGCATGGAATTACACTGCCTAAGTTCAAATCCTGATCCTACCACTTACTAGTTGTGTAATGATTTGGGGCAAGTTATTTAACCTTTTCAGTTTTCTCATCTTTAAAATGGTAAAAACAATAGTACTTAACCTTATAAGGTTGTTTGCAGGATTAAATAAGATAATATGTGAAAAGTGATTTGAATACTGCCTGGAAATAGTGCTGAATTAGCACGTAATAATGTTTACATTATTGAAATAACATTTCCTGGGATGTACTATGTGCCCGATGCTGGAGTGCTGGAAGTAACAAGTTGAAGAGAGCATAATTCCTACTCTGGGGAGAGAGGTAAGCATGGAGCATGCATGGAAGTACAATATAAAATGGAGATATGTACAAAGGTATCTAGGAGTATGGAAGTGGGAGCACCTCCCTCCTTCTGGGGAGAATAGGAGATGCTCCTCGGAGGAAGCAATGTTTATGCCAAGGCTTAGAGGATAAGTAGGAGTTTGCAGAATGGAGAATAGAGGGGAGGAGTGATGGGTGAGTTATTCTGGGCAGAGTAAACCCCGAGTCCTGTGTGCATTTCAGTGAACACAGGGAATATGGATTGGGGAAGGGGATAGGGGTGGGTGGGTAATGAGGCAGAAAATGCAGGCAACAACCCAAACCTGAAGGGCTTTGTGAACCATTGGAGTGGTTTGGTGTCTAATACATAGTTGGTTGGGATCACTGAAGACGCTAGTCGTGGGCCTGGCTGCTGTGTGGAGGATGGATCGCTAGAAGACCACCAGAAAGCCAGGGTACCAGTTACAAAACCTTTGCAGTAATTTAGGCAGAAGAGTACACTGTTCTGCACTGGAGTAGTGGCAGGAACAACATAGATATGGCTCAGGTTTCCGGCATGGGTGTCTGAGTAAATGGAGGAATGTGGTCAGTTAGGTGGAATGACATATATTTTTCAAAATGATCACAAGGAAGACTATGTAGCAAGATGGAAAAATGTTCATCATGTAATATTAACTGATGAAAGCAACCTACTAATCATGTCTGTACCACTGATGACTATAAACCAAGCAAACATACTCAAAGATGAGGTGAGGAAGGGACAAGAAATAAAACAGTTTGCTTTCTTAGGATATTAAGATTGTGGATGGTGTATCTTTCTTTGTTTTAATTTATAGAAATGCTCTTGTAACTTTGAAGAAAAATAGTAAACAAAAATTATAATGAAATATTGTGGTTGAAATTTTGCCTTTGTTTTGGATTTCCTTTAATTCCTGAATGAGCATTTTGGTAAGAACTTAATGGAGATATAATTATATTCCATACAATTCACCCATTTAGAGGATACAATTCAATGGTTTTTAATATATCCACAGAATTGTGCAACCATCACCAAAATCAATTTTAGAACATTTTTACCACCCCGCAAAGAAACCCATACCTATTTGCAAATACTCTCTATTTCCCCTTAACCCCTGGTCCCACTCAAACACTAATCTGCTTTCTATCTATAGATTTGCCTATTCTGGACATTTCACATAACGAAATCATACAGTGTGTGATCTTTGTGACTGGTTTCTTTTGCTTAACACAATATTTTCAAGGCTCATCCATGTCGTAGCATGCATCAGTCCATTTCTTTTTGTGGCTGAACAATATTCCACTGCATGGATATGGCAGGCATATTACTTATCCATTCGTTAGTTAATAGACATTTGTGTTGTTTCCACTTTTGGGCTATTATCAATAATGCTACTATGAACACTTACATACAAATTTTTGTGTGGACGTATGTTTTCATTTCTCTTGGATACGTATTGACTCAAAGTATAAAAGTGCAAAGGGGCACTAGGGATAATTTTGGGGGCAATGGATTCTGTATCATGATTGTGGTCGTGGTTACATAGCTATATGCATTGGTCAAAACTCATTGAATTGTATACTTACCTTGATGAAATTGGTTATATTTAATGTACATCTCAGTAAAGCTGATCCTCAAAATAAAGGATGGAATGGTAGGGAGACAGACTGGGAGACATATTAATATGTATAATGTTCCAACATTATATCATACTTTTCTGTATACCAGTATTTCGCATACATCGTCTCATTAAAACCAACCAACGAACCAACCAACCTAAATGAACAAAAACTATGATTATTCCAATAAGCCAATGAGATAAGTAAGAAAGTATTCTTGTGTCCACTTGAGAGATGAGGAAAATAGAAGAAGTCTATGCTGCAGAAGTCAGTTAAGTGGTCTGCCCATTATCACAGAGCTGCTAAGTAGCAGGGCCAGACTTTGTCCCAGCTTCCACTTCTGCAGTTTTCTGATGCTTAATCAAATTTGCTTACGAGAACTGAAGGAGAAAGAAGCTACATCTGAGTAGATTACATATTTGGACATAAGAATAAAAGTTCCCCCACACGCCGGCTCTTCCATGACCTAGAATAAAAATGAAAAAGTGATAACTTAAATCACAACAACTAGAATAGAATCTCTGAGGAGCAAGAACATTTAAAAATGTCCCACCTTTGATTACAATGCTCTTTTAAGTTGCTCTAACCCGTGAGCTTTGATTTTATTGAGAATAGAGTGTTCTACATCTCTTCCTGTTTTTCCCAGTTTCTGGATGTCCTACGCATTTGTGTGCTCAGATCCTTTGCTGTGGTCTGCCTACCCTGCTCAATAAGGCAGGAGGACTGGCTCCTGTAAGGTTGTTTTTCTCGGGTCACTTGCCTTCCAGCTGGCGGTTAGTCAGTGGGAGGCACTGGTGATGGAATGGTAGAATCTCCCTCTCCTATCCTTGGGTGGCTCTCTGAAGCTGCTGCCCCTCTTCCAAGCTCTCCAGCACCTATGGGGATGTGTCTGTCTTGATGGTCTCTTCTGCTGGTGATCTTAAGCCCTGGGCTCCAATTAAGCCACCTTCTCCCTGCGTTCTACAGTCGAAGGCTGGTGGTAGCTTCATGCCATTGCTAATGTTTGCATTGCCTCACTGTCCTTTAATTAGTCTCTCTGCCTCTTCCTCTTTCCCGCACCACAGTGTCTCTCTTCTAAACACCCAGGATGGTTTCTCTTCCCCTGTTTGGACTTTGGATGATAGACCATCTGTGATCTTGGACTCAGGACTGGACCTAGGCTTTACTCACTTTAAGGCTTAACCCACTTCATTTGGCATCCCTTTGTAGCCCACCCCTCAGGCACATTCAGACATGACATCCATTATTCCATTATGGGTGGGTATATTTGTGCCCAAAAGGCAACCTTTAGAAAATTAAAATTTATTTATCAAATTGACTGGTCTACAATCATCTAACTGAAATAATGCATTTAATAGGTCTGGAATCTCTGAATAAACATTTAGCTGCCCATTTGTTGTATAACAGCATGTTAAATTAGTCAGCATAATTAACACTAGTTTCTGTAATAAATAATTGCAAAATCTCAGTGACTTAATACAATAAACATTTATTTGTTGCTCACAAAGAGTTCAATGTGGTCAGCTGGGGGTTTCTGCTCTGTGCAGTCTTTTAGGAACCTAGTATTGCCCTAGATGTTGACATCAGGCTTGCAGATGAGGGACAAAAAAGAGTAGAGGATTGTGGGGGATGTTTCATGGACTAGGCCTAGGAGTACCATATAGCAACTTTGCCCACATCTCATTGGCCAGAACTCAAGCAGGTGGCCCCCATCTAATTGTAGGAGAGGCTGAGAAATGTAGTTTAACTTAGTGCCTAGGAGGAAAAAGAAATGAGCTTGGAAAATACATGGTCAGTCTGTCACAATTTGCCCTCTGGCCAATAAATTTCCCTTGCACTTTCCTCCCACATATAGAATAAATTCTTCCCCAACCTACCCCTGAGAATGTTATCCAAAGTCACTGAATCCAGCTAAAAGCATTGGGAGATGTTCAGGCATCTCCATCTGGTACACATGTGGTTCTTTTTGGTTGAGTAATTTATAAGCTAAGAAGAAGAGCTATCTGTCCTCTGCTCCTTTCTCATCCTCAAATATGCAGTAGCAAACAGAGACAAATAACCTCAGTGTCCCATTTGGAAAGGGAAAAAATGAAAGATGTAAAGTCAATGCTGGTCCAAAGCCATAGAGCAGGCATTCCTTTCCCTGATCAGGAAGCATTGTGAAATGTTTCTGATTGTACTGTTTCTCCTCTATGATAGGAATGATTTCATCCATATTAGATGTTTGCCTTGCCATATAGATGGCACATTCAAATAAAATTTGTTTCTGCTAATAACTTTTATTCTGGGAAAGATCCCTAATTTAAGATTCTTCTACATGGTTAAAGGAGGGGCAAAAGTTTCTCTTGAGCCCACAAGGTCTTTTTTTTTTTTTTTTTTAAGATTTTATTTATTTGTTTGAGAGAGAGAGCACGAGAAGGGGGAGGGTCAGTTGGAGAAGCAGACTCCCTGCTGAGCAGGGAGCCTGATGTGGTGCTCAATCCGGGATCATGACCTGAGCTGAAGGCATATGCTTAACCACTGAGGCACTTGGGCGCCCTGAGCCTACAAGGTCATGATTGCCTTCAGCTCAAAACAGTCTGCATGCTAAAGTGGCTTTTTGGGGAAGATTTGTCCTGAGCCTCTTCATCACAATAACAATAATCATTATCATTATAACAATAGCTAAATTTTACTGAGCATTTATCATGTGCCAGACACTGTGCAAAGTGCTTTATATTTATTATATTCACTACAAAAACTCTATAAACTAGACTCCATAATCTTTATTTTACCAATAAGGGAATTGATGCTCGAGAAGTTAATTTGCTTAGAATCACACAGCTAATATCCAGTGGCGCCAATATTTGAGTTTCGATCTGTCTGACTGCAAAACTCCTGCTCTTAGTCAGTAGATTATTCTCTTGGATTGCAACACGTTTCTCACCTACTTCTGGGGAGTCTTTCCAAACTTAATTTTAAAGCTCAGATCTTGATCTCACCATTTGGCCAATACGACACTAATAATTGCTGTAGGTAAGAATTATCAACAGGTAGTAAAATTAGTGGGACAAAGTTTGATAAGAAACAGGATATATGCATATTTTCAAAGTATCTCAACACAAGATATTTATTAATTATAAAGAGAGGAGGAGTAACTTTATAGTGGAGAAACCAGGCACAAAGCACCATAAGCATGTAATGAAACTTAACATACAAACATCTTGTGACTCCTGAAATGATGTACTGAGAAGGGCACAGCATCACTTCTGTGGTATTCTTGCCAAAAACCTATAACCTGAATTTAATCATGAGGACATTAGGTATACTCAACTTGAAGGTCATTCTACAAAATAACTGGCCAGTACTCTCCAAAAGTGTCAATGTCATAAAAGACAAAGAAACACTGAGGAACTACATTAGATTGAAGAAAATATGAGAAAAGAAATACGAGAATATATAAGAATATAAGAAAATATGAGAACTAAATGCACTGTGTGATTCTGGATTGGATCCAGGACCATAAAAAACCAAAAAACATTTGTGTGACAATTAGTAACATTTGAATAAGATCTGTATATTAGTTAATAGTATGATATCAGAGTTAATTTCCTGATTTTCATAATGATACTATCTTTTTAAAGTTAATTAATTAATTTATTTGACAGAGAGAGAGAGAGAGCACAAGCAGGGGGAGCGGCAGGCAGAAGGAGAGGGAGAAGCAGGGCTCCCCGCTGAGCAGGGAGCCCAACGTGGGGCTCCCTCCCAGGACCCTGGGATCATGACCTGAGCTGAAGGCAGACACTTAACTGACTGAGCCACCCAGGCACCCCTTTAATCGTACTATCTTTATGTACGTTGTGAAGCTGGGTGAAGGATACATGAGAAGTGATTTTTACTTTTCAGTGATGAGTTGTTGGTTGTTGTTTTTTTTTTTCCTTTGGCACCTTTTTTGTAAGTCTGAAATTATTTTAAAATAAAAAGTTTAAAAAAAGCCTCATCTCCCCAGTTTACTTGTTAAAAGTTGTTTACCCATCAAAATCATGTCTGAACTAAAAGTAAATGGACTGTAAGTACGTCTCCACCAGCTTTCTCATCTGTTCTGCATTCTGTGTTCTGTCTCTAATAGGCTGTCATGTTCCTTTGTCCAGATGGTGCCATGCACAGTGGTGCCAGGTCTAAGAGAGAGCTATTTACACCCTAGATAGCATACACTTGTATATTCATTATGACGATTTTCTGGCAAATGAAAGAAAAATGTTTTGTGCTAACAAAATCACTGTATTATGACAGTTTATCATCATATGGAAGTAAAGTGTCTTGGGAAGGGCATTTCCCCCCTAATTCACATAGAAGAACATTATGGGCCAGCAGTATTCCTGCAGGCACTCCAAAGGTACCACCAAGGCACAACCTCTGCTCCTCTACATTAGATCTTGTCACAGGCCATCTCCTGGCAGGAGGGATAACCCCTTTCCTCACCTAACCCTCAGCAACACAATGGAAGCCTTCTGTCAGACTTTTCAAATGTGCTGAGGCATGACGTCCCCAGGTTGGTTGTGGGACCAGCCAATGTATAAAGAGGAATTGCAACAGAAGCAGTTGTCAGACCTCAGAGCTATGAGATAGATAGTTGATTCTCAAAGTTTTCTCCAAAGTTCGCTGAACAGCATAGACTATTATATCAGGTAAGATGCTGTGGGCTGCCAGGTACAAAAAAATCCAGTTCAAACTAGCTTAAACAGTGACGGAGTTTAGCTCAGGCAGTCCAAGCCCAAAGCCACGAAGGCTCCACTCCATTTATTTGATATTCTCTTGGTTTAGTCTTCCTTTGTGTATCAGTTTTGTCTCCAGACTAGGGCTCTCATTGTTAATAAATGATTTACAGGAGCCAATGGGGACATATGTTTCTTTGTTCATATTCTACAGAAGAAAAAGAAAACCTTTCACCCAATCATACTACAGAAAGCTCTCCCTTCAATCTGATCCACCTTAGGTCACCTACCTGCTCCTCTACCAATAACACTCCTCAAGGGAAAGCTGTACTGTGTGTGACTGAAGTCTGAGTTCCTAAACTATTCAGTGGCAAGGTAGTAGGATTACTGAGAGGGGTTTAGAGTAAGAAAGATACATTTCCAAAGCTGAGGATAAGGTCAAATTCCATTGAAACTTCTGAAGGAAGAATGAACACCTGACCCAAATCAGGGCTTTGTTAGGAAAAGGAATGGAGACAATGGAAGCTGGGGAAGTGAATTCCTGCCCCTTGTGAATCTAGGGTGTTGGTCCAACATGACCCTCTACAAACAGAATATTTCTTTGCCATTTCTTCTATTTAAAAAAATGGGTTATACCACTGTGGAAAATAGTGTGGAGGCTTCTCAAAAAATTAAAATTAGAACCATCATATGACCCCACAATCCTTGCAAAGGATTTGAAAGCAGGATCTCAAAGAGATATTTGCACATCCGTGTTCACTATTCACAATAACCAAGAGGTACAAGTAACCCAAATGTCCACCAATGGATGAATGAATAAAATTTAGTGTATATATATATATGTGTATATATATATATATGGAATATTATTCAGCCTTAAAAACGAAGGAGATCCCTGTCATAAGCTACAACCTAGATGGACCTTGAGGACATTATACTAAGTGAAATAAGCCAGTCACAAAAAGGCAAATATTGTAGAATTCTATTTATATGAGTTATCTAAAGTCAAATTTATAGAAAAAGAAAGCAGAAGGATACCTGGTGGCTCAGGTGGCTAAGTGCCCGACTCCTGATTTCAGCTCAGGTCATGATCATCCGGGTCATGAGATTGAGCCTTGCAGGGGGACCCAAGCTCAGTGGGGACTCTGCTTGGATTTTCTCCCTCTGTCCCTCTCCCCACTTGCATGTGCACACACTCATACACACTCTCTCTCTCTAAAATAAATGAATAAATCTTAAAAAAAAAAAAAAAGAAAGAAAGCAGGGGCGCCTGGATGGCTCAGTTGGTTAAGCATCTGTCTTCAGCTCAGATCATTATCTCAGGGTCCTGGGATAGAGCCCTGTGTCGGGCTCCCTGCTCAGCAGGGAGTCTGCTTGTCCCTCTGCCCCTTCCCCCACTTGTGCTGGCTCTCTCAAATAAATAAATAAAATCTTAAAAAAAAAAGTTAGCAAAAAAGAGACTGCAACAGTAGCCCATGACTGCGAAAGAAACAGGCAAGAGTAATGATGGTGGAAGTGTGAAACATATGTAGACAACACCCCAAAAGAAAGAGGTGAAAACGTGAACAGTGGTATTCTTTGGGTGATAGATCTTCAGGAGAGTTTTTCTTTGTACTTTCAGTCTTCTTGAATTTTTTCCATAATTTATATGACGTGTTTAAGATGTTTAGTCCGAGATGTTTAGAACTGTGGTAACCACAAAGATTGTGGGTCCAAGGGTCTCACTTATGAAAACCTGAATGTTACAAACCCTATTTTGGCTGTTCAAAGGGCTCATGCCACCTCCCCCATCCTTGCTTTTTTATTTTTAATGTGTTTTTGACAGTTGAGGTCAATATAAAAATTCTACTGTAAATATAAAAATAAAGATAGATCCAAAATTCAGGGGCTGTTTTCTCAGTGATTTAACTCCTTAGCCATTAAAAAATCGATTTCTGAGTAATAAAAAATTGCAAGTAAATTAATTTAGAACAAAATAAAATTTTTGGTTGAAACAGGATTCAAGTAAGTCTTCCATCTAGAAAAATGGAATTATTGTTCAAAGGAATATAATTCAAGAATCTCCTGAAAGCACATCCATGTGTACAAAGTCATTATGTTTACTTCTCCCTTACATAATGCGTGTATTACCGTTTGCAAAGCTGCCTAGGTTTGTTCCATTTAAATGCTCTTTGACAGTGCTGCCACTGTGTTTCTGGCAAGCACAGCTTTACGTAAGCATAAACCATATGGAAATTCCAAGATTAGAATAATTTGGATTCTATCCTCAGGACACACGGTGTTTATCAGTGTAAGATGATGGAATGTCCCTCTGTAGGTGAGATAGGTGTGGGTTTGGATTGCCATCCCATCGCTGTTAAGACTCAAGTCGCAGGATCTCATCCACTGGCGATCTCCATCAGAGTAGCCAGGGGGCCACTCTCAGCTGGAATCTGCAGCTGTCCCTCTCCCCTGCCCTGGGGCGCCTGCCTTGAGGCAATGGGAGTACATACGTGTTCTATTGAACTGGATGTGAGTCCTAGCTCTGCCTCTTACTGCTGTGGGCTTTGGATTGTTCAGTTACCCAATTTTTGCGGCAGGAATATTCACTGAGAATCAATTTTTCATATTCTCCATATCCTGTGCTTACCACTCCCTTGCTAAGAAGACTCTTGGTATTTTCTTGCCTCAGCATTTTTTTTGCACAAGGAAAGCAGACATTTCCACGGAGCAGCTTTTCTTTCTTTTTTCTTTTTTTCAAGGTTTAAATAGACTTTATTGTTACAAGGAGGGCCCTACCAAGTAGGGCCTTATAAACCAATATATGTGGTCCCAGGATGTCACCATGGAGAAATGGAGAGGTCATGACTGCAGAAGAGGTCATTGTAATTGAAGGACATGATCCTGAGAAGATCAGCCAGGGATGCAGCAGACATGATCAGGAGAGGCCAGGGGTGGTCAGGTCACAGGGTGAGGGACAGGACAGCCCCCTTCACTCCCACTTCTTGTAGCTCTCCAGATGCGATAGGACCCAGCCCGATGGCAGGAGGAAACACAGGAAGCAGGAGGTGAGCCCAACGGCAACATCCATGGTCCTGAGCTCCTCCCGCGGAGGCTTGAAATGGATCTGGGCACGCTGCACTGGGAGCCTCCGGGTGAGACCTGTCACGCCCCTCAGCAGCTGCGCCGTAGACAAAGACATGACCGCATGGAGTGATGACAGTTGCCAGCTACTGCCCAAGGTCGGGAAGTCCAGAGCAGCTTTTCTTTTACAGAAGTTCAAATTCTGCTAGATTCTGCCAGGTGTCATTAGGAGGAAAGGAGAAAGGGAGACTCTTTGAGGGCAATAGGAAGGAAGAGACAAATACCTCCCTGTCACTAAAAAAGGGGTGTTTGGGGGGAAAGCAGATCCAGAGAGATCTGCTTGTGCTCACTGCAGAGGCCGGAGAAAGAAGCCAGCGCTCAGGGAGGATGACTGTGCAGTGAGGTATATCTTGAAATTCTGAATCCTAGGGGCTGGCACCCCAGCCTCTCAAAGATCCTCGACATCCTACATCACACAGAGCCATGGCATGTCCCAATCCAGAGGAAACTTTTCTGGTACAGAAAACAGGCATCTACCAGATTCTTGTGCACATCGAAGAGAGAGGAGAGGACAGGCCCTCTCCATGCTTTGGTACATGGGCCATGATCCAAAATCCTGCGAGGAAAGCCCCTGAACGGTTTAGATGCCATTTCCTGACATTGCAGTGGAATCGTGCTAGGAGCTGGTTTGAATTAAATTGAAAAAATAAAGTAAATGGGCATTTCTCACACATTTAGTATTGTGTGTATCCTTCTATGTGTGTCTGAGCCTCTATTTCTTCATCAGGTCCTGGAGATCAAAACACTTGTCTCACAGGTCATTGAGGGGATTAAGCAAGGTTAAAACGTGAGGCCCCGGAGAACACTTCACGCATATTTACTAGGTGCTCACTTGCTGCTGATTCTCTGAAATAGTTTTCTTACTTTTTTCTCGCCAAGATGGGACTGCCAGTACAAAGTAGAAGTTGGTACCAGGACTTCTGGAAGCCCTGGGGCTGGGGAAGGTCGAGAGGCAAGGTTTTTAATAGTAGTAATAATGATGGCTCCCATTTATTAAGAACCTATTACAGGTCAGACACCTCTGGACTATAAATCATGTCAGTGGTTTTTAAACTGTTCTGCAGAGTTGCAAGATTCCCTGGAAGGTTCAGGAGGTGCAGTGGAGAGCGAAAGGGATTCCAGTGAGTTCATATTCACAGTCACTTTCTCTACTTCAACTAGATCAGTTTTGCTTTTACCTGCTTAATATATTGATCCTCTACAAATGATTTTATCTGAAGTGTAGTACATCTGTTAAACATGCTTGAGAACTTCCACAACGATGCTGGGTCCAGATGGCAGTAAAAACATGTTCTTTAGACTTCCTCTCCTGGTCTAAACCCTAAAACTAACCTAAAATATATATGTCAATATATATATATTATATATAAAGCATATACATCAATATATATAATATCTGAAGATGATGCTGACTTACAAGATGAATTACTCTAAATGAACGAAAAATTCTGGGGGAACTGCTGAAAGACAGAAAGTAGGATTGGGATGACACGGAAGGAGGGAACCACTGTCCAACCTTAATGAAGAGGACACCTATAAATCGTGAGAGAGGCTTCAATATTGCTCCAAGCTTGGGGAAAGTGGATACGGGGAGCAGGAGACAGTCCCAATCCAACATTTAGTGTGATCTGAGTAACATTACAGCCGAAGGAACAATCAAGTTCCTCCTTCCACCTGTGCAATGCAGCAAACAGAAAAGACAATTCCTGTGAAAAGGACCACTTGGGCATTACCAGCAGGGTAGTACCCAAGAGGCATGTGTATCCCAAAAGAAAACGGGAGTTCCCAGGCCCGGAGAAATTGCTAATGGTCTACCCAGTCTGGTAGCATGTCCTACCTCTCCCCAAGAACCGTAGGAAGCAGAAAACAATAAATAGGTAAGTACGCAGACTGTAGGCAGGCTAACAGGCAATTGAAAATGCAAACATGACACAACCAAGAATCACCAAACATTTGAAGAAAATCAAAGAGGAGTTCCAAGAAGGAGAGAATAGAAGGAATGGAGGAGAGGAAACACTACAGAAAAATAGAAGGATGAAATATCTCATTGTCAATGAAAGGCATGAAACTCCCAATGAAAGGGCCCATGAATGCTGCTTAGAATGAACAGAAACACGCAAAAAACTCAGATCACACCTAGCCACTTGAGGGTAACATTTTAGAAAGCTAAAGATAGATGATATTTTTTTCTTACTATCCCTAGATAAATTAACAGCTAATGTAAAGCATATTATTTGGGAGAGGAAGGAGAATTCTATCTTTCATTAGACTTTTGTAAAAATGACAGAAAAAGCCTGATATAGGAATAGGGTCCACAAATTTAATTACATAAGCCTAGTTCCTAGAGTCTGGCTCACAATATAGTTTATTGTCTTCTGGTGGCTTCTATATCAATTAATCGTGTGCCTGGCTGAGATTTCCAGGGCAGAACAGTGACTCCAGGCATTTCTCAGTTCACACCTGTTTTGGTGACTAATCCTATAAGATTAGATAATACTGAGGACAGAGAGCCCATCCTTCTCCTCTCTACTCAAGGATGGAGTTGCTGCTGTTTGCCTCCCCGCTGAGACTCTCTCCATTTCAGGCCTCTCCTACACAACTTTAGCTCACCCGCATCCAACAGCCATGCTCAGTGGAGAATGGGAATCATCGCCAGTCAGGTTATATATGGGTTCACATGATGGCAAGGGAAGCTAGGAGAGAGCTGGGCCATGAGCTAATGGGAAATAAGAGGGGCAGTCGTGATGGAGGAGCTGTGAAGACAAGACGGAAAGGAAGGCTGGTCAGAGGGGCTGCAGGATAACATGACCCGGGGCCGGGGAGTAGCAAGTCCTAGAAGTAAAGAGGATAAGCTGAATGAGTAGGAAATCAGATTTGGTGAGATCAAATAGGACAGATATGGGAAAATGCTCCCAATATAGTGTTAATTAAAAATAACATGGCCAAACGGCTTCACAACCCCCCCCCCCCCGCCCCCTCCATGGATATAGCGTGGTCCTTGAATATATGTGTGTTTTCTTTAAATCTGTTATATACCTGCTGCTGGGAGGTGCGGAGCACAGAGTGGAGCACTGGAATGAATGTACACGGTTCCTACTCTCACAAGGTTCACAGTTTAGGACAATAGATAGCTTTGAAAGGACACAAACATTAAGAGTGATTATCACTGGTTGTAAGATTGGAGGTGAGTTTATTTTCTTTTTATAAAGTATAAGTAATATTTTCCATATATTCTACGTAGTTATTATATGCCTTTTATAATGAAAGCAATAAATCTTATAGACACCACAAATTCATAAAGCAAACTTTACTTATAAAACAAAATGCCAGTTATATTTATTCAGCTATGTTCAAGGTTTTACAACAGCAGCTAAGGGTATACACAGAGGATTAAGAATAAATCCTTGCTCACAAGGAAGATTAAATCATTGTTTATGGGGGTGTTTATGGCAGAGGGAGCTGAGGAAATGGTTAGCAGGCAGATAAGCAATTATGTTTCTTTGTCGAATAAAATAAAGGCTAACTGGAGGTATATGTATTTTATAAACCACATTGTAGCTTGTTGTAGCAGACCGGTTTTCTATCCTCCAATTTGGGAAACGCTTCGATCTCTTGGATGAAGATTTACGAGATAATCTGGTCCATATCAGTGGCATATTGCCAAAGGATCTCTTAGGGTGATAAAATTTGAAGAATGCTTATTATTACCCATGCAAGGTCAACTTATTAACTTCAAAAAGACCTTGTCCTACATGTTCCTTTTAGGAGTAGGGGAATGGAATAGTAATAACAGCAATTACTCTGTTTAATGAACATTTACTCCATGCCAGGCATTTTATATTAATTATCTTATTGGGTCTTCACAACAAATCTCTAAGGTAGGAATTACAGGCCCACATTCTCTTATCCAAAATCCTGGGACCAGATGTGTTTTGGAAATGGAAATTTTTTGGAATTTAAAAAGAAATTTGGAATATGGTGCATATACTACTAACTTTGTAACATACCAAATGGTTATGGAACACAGTATTTCTACAGAGAAATGTATGAAAATTCGCACAAGTGGAATAAAGTCCATAAATAATGTTATAATTTATTTACATAAATAAATTTATTGGCAAATGAAATTTGTTGGTAAATAAAGTTATTGGTAAATGGAATAGTAGGATAAATATAGACCATAAGTACTTAAGCTTCTTATTTCTTTTGTTGCTTATGATAAATATTTTTTAGTAAAACTTTAAATTTATATTGATGAAAACTAACCTATAACACAGGCAAGAAATATTCATCACTTCTGGTTGTTTGAGAATCTTTTTTTTTTAAGATTTTATTTATTTTTTTGACAGAGAGAGGGAACACAAGCAGGGGGAGTGGGAGAGGGAGAAGCAGGCTTCCCGCAGAGCAGGGAGCCCGATGCGGGACTCGATCCCAGGACCCCGGGATCATGACCTGAGCTGAAGGCAGACACCTAACCGACTGAGCCACTCAGGCGCCCTATTTGAGAATCTTAAAGAAGGGGTTAGTATTGTCTGTGAAACCAGGCTGGGGCTGGACATCTGAGGATGAGCCACAAATGGGATTCTCAAGCGACAAAGAGGCATTACCACAAGGGGCCTTTCTACAGACTTTCCCGTGTCACTGGTCTCCTTAGCGTAGGTTTCGGTCTAAGCAGTTTCTCTCTAATTGAATAAACTGCCATGATCTCTTGCTCACTGACAGATGCACATTGTTCAAGGCTAGCAATTAATCGGTCACACATTTTCACCATATGCTCTATGGAGATTTTTTTCGCCGTTGTAATCATTATCATTATTACTACTATCTTCATACTTATCTGTATTTAACAACATCTCAGCAATTTCCCCATCACTGAAAGAAGGCACGATGGGTGCATCATTATCAGTGTTCAGCATTTCTTCAGTGTCAGCTTCTTCCAACTTACTGGAACTTCCAAGTTGGAAATTCCAACTTCTTCCAACTTACTTTCGGCGGATAAACTTTTGGCAATAATGAGTTATTTATTTATTTATTATTTGAAGATTTTATTTATTCATTTGACAGAGAGAGAGAGAGACAAGCAGGGGGAGCAGCAGAGGGAGAGGGAGAAGCAGGCTCCCCGCTGGGCAGGGAGCCCAATACGGGGCTCGATCCCAGGACTCTGGGATCATGTCCTGAGCTGAAGGCAGATGCTTAACTGACAAAGCCACCCAGGTGTCCCTGCACACACCTTTTAAATACTTTGGATATAGGTTTTTCCCAGTCACTGCTGA